GAATTTTCTCCGCACGAAGAGGAAAAATCACAGAAATTTTCAAGACTGGACATTAAGTAGTTTTTCATTTAAAAAATAAAGTATGACAGGAAGTCTGCGACGTCGCAAACCGAGATACGTGGTTTGGTAGTTTCACCGTCGATATACGTTTTCATCTAAGTTCTTCATGTTCATCTGATTTATTTTCTCCATACTTTAAAAAAATGTGAGCAGGTTAGTTTGGTACACACAATGGTAATTTGAACCATTTTTAAGACATGACAACCATATAAAAATTTTCAGCCATGGAATGCACTAAAAACTGCTTAATTTATTGGGTATAAATGAACTTATTCTCTTTGCACAGACTGTGAAAAACACAAGTTGAGAGAGATTTGAGTAGAATGTACACGGAGAGCTGAGAGCTGCACTAAATGAGACAGACCAAAACTCGCAAAGACCGGTTTCAGTTACAACCCTCTAATACAAGACGACAACACGAAAAGCAGACACTAGATCGATGTGCACGCGCCACAACTTACTCTCATTCCTTCCCACCGTGACACAGCTCGTAAAGGACGTAGCGCACGAAGTGTCCGCATTGAACGAAACGCCGGAATATCAGCAGCACCGGCCCATACAGCGGCCAAATTAATTAGAGAAAGCTAAACAACATTGCTCATTAAAATAATTTTAGAAGTTTGTGCCAACAAAAATAGGTCCCATGTATAAAACTCAGAAGAAAAGAAACTGACTCACAAAATTTAATGTGTACATTACTTTGTTTGCAGAGATTGTTCTGTAAAACTCCTGAGCCGATGTTTTCACCTTAAATTTTTGCTTGAGGATTTGGACCACTAAAACTTCAAAAAGCTTTGGAGACAAAATTTCTAATTCTACACTAGTTGGAGGTGTGCTATAAGGGGGCTTCAAACAAATTTTAGAAAAGCAGGTCAGAAGAAAGAACAGATGAAAAGAGATTAGTTTGCAATTTTTTCTTCAGATCTCCATTTTCTCTATTTTTCACTTCAAAAAGATAGTTTCATCTTTTCTCTAAACTCATCGAATTTCTGAAAAAGCGACTTTTTCTTGTTATTTCTCCCCCCTTATGTTATTAATTTACATGTTCTTGTAGACAAAATATTAACTCACCATGACAATGATAAAATCCAGCCAACACCACGCATTGGTAAAATATTTAGCAAACCCCAAAGCCAGCCACTTAATTAACATTTCCAAAAAGAAGATGACCGTAAATATTCTGTCCATATAGTACAATATATCTTGGAGAATTGGTCTTTGCTGCAGATGAACATCCTCCAGCGCCTGAATGAAAAGGTTCAAAACATATTACCATCATACGATCTAATAAAACAAATTTGGTGAAACTTTTATTAACTAGATCCCAAATATCTGGAACCTCAATTACCTGCATCCATCCAGAGATATTTTCTGATGAGAATTTCTCCAAAGCTGAGAAACTTAAGGCGCCATCATACTGTTTAAAAATTTTCAATATATTCTTGTGAATCAGAAAATCAAAGAAATTCACAATTTTTTATAAAGTAAAGGATTGCAAAGGATGCAATTTGTGCCATCTGTGAAGGCGTACATATAGTTTTGTACCTGCTCCTGTAAGAAGCACTTATCTTAATACTTTACAATCCAAATAAAGTATGGTCACTACAGGTTCAAATAATTACAGTTTTAGAATGCTAATAATTTTACAATATTCATAGAGCCTCCGTTATCTAGTAAGACAGAACATTTTAAAATAAAAAAAATGAGAATGTCTTCTTTTCTGGCACCAAAAATTCGTGCAACCTTTCATGAAAAATTTTATCAACCCGGGAGATACATCATCACCTTTCCGCAAAAGTATCATAAGCATCATTTGTGTTTCAGCAATATTTTGCCGAATTTCTTAAATTCGTCCAATTTTATTTAGAAAAACCAATTAACAGAATCACTTGAAAATTTTGCTTAGAATTTATCTGTCATCGAAATTAATCCTTGAGAATTTCATGACAGTATGTGCAGAAAAAATTAAATCAATATCAAGGTGTCGGGCAACATTGCGTCTAAGCATCTAATATTTTGGCTGGTGGGTGATAACATATTAACATACGTATAAAACACATATCATTGATGCAGTGTTTTAAAATTTTTAAAATTTGAAACTTTCTGAAATTTTGAATGACGTAGACAAATGTTTCTTCAGAACGGCATCCAACACAAAATCTGCAATGATGCAAGCCAAGATAAATTCACCGACAACAGATCGGATTTCAAGCAATATAGTTATCACTTGCAGATACAGAAAATTGGCAACATTGTCTTTTCTCCATTTACCCCTATGGAAATGTACCAATTCTTAGAGGGGCCAAGTGCTCCAACAAGAATCGATTATTTAACATAGGTTTAAATGGAGGAAATCCGGTGTTGCCAAATTGCTGGATGCGCCTCAGATAGTTATGAGACGAGTATATCAGAATTAATTACCAGCGCCAGACTGCTCAGCAAGATCATGGTTATCACAGCCGTTTCAAAATATTTGTTTTCTATTAGCTGAAATGTTTTGAGCCTAAGATTTGCCCAGCCTTGCCAGAAGGGAGCATCATCATCCCCAGCCAAGAAAGGAAACCGCCGATAACAGTCCTCGGGGAAACAATCGGATGGATAGCTATCAGCATCGTCCAGAAGCATGCCATCTTCAACAATGTGTCCTATTGGAATCTCTGGAATCTTCTCTTCTTCTTTTTCTTTCTCCTCCTTTTCTTCTTCTTCATCTAAAATCAAAACAAAAGACATGAAACATAGCAGCTAGGTCAAATATATTACTTTAAATGAATTTACCATCATCAGACCAAGAGCTAGTTTATATACCCTGATAAATGATTAAAATTCAGGTTCCAGGATAGAGAAATTAGAATTTAAAACCAGAATTAAACAGGTTGAATATCAAAACTCCACTTACACTGAAAGTTTCAATTGAAGAAAGGTATATCTCTCAATGATAAATTAAATTTGAATGAACGGACCTAGGGTGCTAGGCTTTGATGCATTATGCGCCCCAGTATTAATCAGTTGAACCCGTTATTTCTTATTTAGAACTAAGTATTGTTTCAAATAGGATTTAGACCGTTAGGGAGTGGAGAGCACCATCTTTTTTATAGATAGTCAGTTTTTTTTGTCTTCTTTTGTATAGTTTTTTCGTCTGGTTAGAAACTCATTATTAAGGTCCCTGATTGTAATAGTCTTTGTTAGACCTTTCCTTTAAGCATAAGTCTTACCAGGTTCATCATCCAGATTTTCTTTGCTTGTGTCTTTCTTTTCAACAGGTGGCTCACCTATACTTCCTTTGTGACTTTCCTCATCGAAAGGTCTATGTTTGTGGCTTCCATACGATAAGTTACTGTAAAGCAATTCAAAGTATTAGAACATATTGATGACCAGTTTTTAAAATTTGAGCTTGAAAAGCAAACATTTGAAATTAGACATAATCATAGATCAATAAGTTGAACCTATAAATCAATAGAATGTATTATAATATATATCACATAGAATAGTTCAGGTTTGGGGCTGTTCAAGTATTACATGATGCACTTTTATTTGGTGCGAAAAGCTATGACTCAGTTTTGAAAGAGTCGTTACATCTAGAATTTAGAAATCTAAGAGAATAGAATGTGACACATATATATATACTCACTTATGACTCAAACCAGTGGCAAATGAAATTCTTACCTGAAAGTGTCTTCATCAAACCGGTGTTTCAAGAATTCAGTTTCAATTTCATGGTTCCCGATCGAATTACCAATATGATTTTTTCCTTTCTTAATTTTTTGTTTCATATCTCCTTTAAAACAAAACAGAAGTATACATTCATTTTCCTCTGGGCGATTAAAATTAAATTGAGCAAATTTTTTGAATGCATTTTACAGAAATAGCAGTGTTACATAAATAAGATTTTATGTTGACTCGGCAAGCTTCAATGCACATTGCAGCAATGCAACACGACATGATTCTTTCTAACTAATGAGGCTATTTCATAATTTTTTTCTGACTGATTTTCGAAAAGTACATGAAAAATTAGAAAATCTGTGTTTTTTTTTTTTTGGTTTTCATTTGATCAATTTTTAGTTGAGATGATGACTTTCAAGGTTGCCAAAAATCCGTTCCTGTTTTGAATGAAAAAATATTGTGCTAACAGTTTTCATGACGTCAAAAGAAGAACCGATCGGCATGTGTCCTTTCTCCTGCATTTGTTTACATATTTGCCTATTGCAACCATAAAAAGAGATTAAATATCCCCATTATTCTTGAAATGTCAACGCTGTTAGAAGGTTTGAGATGAATATTTTTGACGCATTTTTCTATACAAAATCTTTTGTTTAAGATGTGAATTGTGAGCCAGGGCGGCCAGGGTGCCACGGATTCACAATGGTTGAAACTATGGCTCATTACAGTTATGTTTAGAAGAGGCCTCTATTATTCTAATTACGCTTTTGAGGAGGTATTTATTCATTTTATATAATGAAGATTGTTACCGTGTATGGTGAACTCCATTCCATCTCCGATTGCCACTTCAAGTTGGTCCTTTTTATCCCTAAACATGACACCATCTGCTAAAATTTCATCTGAAGCTAAATCTATGCTGACATGGTCTCGATCTGGAATGAGAAATTTAAAAAAGCATCCTCAAGTCAGTTCATAAATGATTCAAATATTGAGAATTATTATGAATGACAGGCTGACAATAAGTGTCAAAAGGTTTATTTTGAGTTATTCACATTCTAATTTTCTGATGATGAATTTATGATTACACTTTTTTACATTTAGATCCATTTCCTTTAAGTGCACTACTCTGAGATATTGGCTACACTATCTTACAAACTTGTTACATTTTTTAACTCGGCAATGTGCTTGGCTTGTTCATACAGTTAGAAATTCCATTAGCATTGAAAAGTTAAGGTTTGTGAAGAAGTGAGCAATACTTACTACCATGAATTTGAGCGGTAACTTTTGAGCGAAGTTTGTTGACGATACCCAGGAAGAAATTTCTTACACTAAGTTTTACCCATTTGATGAATCGGTCTATCCTTGCAAATGCTTCTGCTATTTTATTTGTTTCACTATCAGCTGTTGGCGCAGATAAGCTTGATGATCCGAAATTACTCAGCAACAACGCTAAGAAAAGATTTAAAACCTGGAAACATTCATAGTGACTATTAAGTGATTATTTCATTACATTGTACAAAAAACCTACAATTAACAGAGGAAACATCTATAACGAAGTATCTTTGATTTTAGTGTCTTAAGTGATCTTATTTGATTGGCCGCACATTGTTATCACATTTACGGTGAAGTGGAACTAAAACTTCGTTATCCTATCATTATCATTCAAGAATCAGAGACAGGTAAGCTTTGTACTTCCACGTTTTTTTATTCCAGACTTGACCTTCAGACTAGTTTTGAATACCATTCTGGTAAAACTCTGATGAAAATAAAAATTTTGGGGTTTTATGAATGACCTACTGTTAAAATTGGTACCACCATGTGGGACTCGCCGTGAAAGCCTTAAGGAAGTTAAGTTATTGGGTTTTCAGTTACTGATGACACACTGATGTATCGAATTTTGACTGAAATCATTCAGGATTTTTACTGTCTAGTCTCTAAAAAACTAGTCCTTACCTTTTATTTGCATTTCAGCACTTTTCAGATTTGGACTAGCATGTGCATATGCCTTTAAATCGCAACTAAAATAGCATTAATGAATTGGACTACATTTTGCAATTAGAAACTATAATTTCTGGCTCAGTTTCGAAACAACGTACGTACCATCAGTTTCCTTAAGCGCATACATGTTTTTACAGATAAGCCAGAAATTATAGTTCCGAATTGCAAAATGTAGTCCAATTGGACTTCATTATCTAAAACAGGACTACTATTTCTGGCTCACCCAAAACAGTACATACAAGTCTGCATAGAGGAACTAATAACACATACGCTATTTCAAAATTAAGCCAGAAACGGTAGTTCCCTATTGCAAAATGTAGTCAAAGTAAGAAAATGTTCCATGAATTTAAAGCTAAGAAACTTTGATGAGATGACATCTAAGCTCTTTGCTGGTACCACGAGTATTATGGCGTTTTTACAATGGAAACTTCAGAATACTAAGACTTAGCAATTGAATAATACCATTGATGAGTGGACGTAGTTCCGTCAGTCGGAACTATGTGCATCATGACGTGAGCCCTGTTGAGCATGTACTCTTATGGATCTCAGGGCTCATGTCTTAATGCACATAGTTCCATTTGGCAGAAACTTGTTCAAGTTGAAACAAGTTCCAAGACTTTTAAGAGAGATGTGTGAATTAAAAAATTGTAAACACTTACTACAAGGTAACCGATAACGACAGTGGCTAAAAAAAAAGGAATACAGGACACATCACCAACATGCATACAGTCCCACATGGACTCAATCCATTCTCCGCAGAGGACTCGAAAAACGATCATGAATGAGTGCATGAAGTCAGTAAAATTCCACCGAGGTAGTTCTCCGCCAGGAAAGCGATCAACATTGTCTGAAAAAAAGGGGAAAAATCATTAGAAGATACTCGGACTGTACGTCCACCGACATTTCCCCCAGCTTTTTTCTATCCAAAGTGAAATTGTGTCCACAAAAACGACTCAAGTATGAAAAGACGTCCATAAGGAAATAAATAAGCCCACCAATATTTTTTTTTTCAAGGACATGTTACAGAGTATAGGTTCATTTTTATGTTGATAAGAGTCACCTTTCTGCAGAGATACTTTTTGCAAGATTATTTTTCTTGAATTCACCAATTATGTTCACCTTTGTCTTGATATCACATGGGCGACTGCAAAATGTTTAATATCTTTTTTATTCAATTTTACATTAGACTAGGGGCCTGTGGCTGCTATGCGGCCGCCAACTACAGAAAAAAAACTACTCTGCAAATTGTGACAATTTATGAATTAGGCATAATTTAGAAAATTTTTAGGGAAAAAACGTTTTCGAAGTGGAATGGCAAAGTGGAATGGGAAAGAAAAATGGGAGGGCTAGAAACTTTCCGCACCTCTGATGGGCTATTACAAACAAGTATCTTTTTATCTTAAAAACTTCTGTCAACATGAAATCAGTTGTTTATTTGAAACTTATAAGTGCACTACCGCTCAAAATCATTCCATTTTTTTCATTCAAAATTTGACATGAAAATACTAACAGGAGAACAAGGTTTTTTACAAATAAAGAGACAAAAGTCCTGTAGCTAGGGGACTGAACATCATACCTGTATAATTCTTCCCGAATAGTTGCATTCCCATCACAGCAAAAATGAAAATAATGATACACAAAACAAAAGTCAAATTTCCTATGGCCCCAACTGTTCGGCCCATGATTGAAATCAACAGATTCAAAGTTGGCCAGGATTTCGCTAATTTGAAAACTCGAAGCTGGAAATAAGTAAAGAAGAGATTAATTTAAAGTGAAAACAAGCAAGATGGTGTCTTTCAGAGACAAGTGAAAATCAAGGAGCTTTCTGGAAAAAGGGCACATACCGAAAAAACAAGTTGTGAGAAAAACGCATTTTAAGTTTTCATTCTTATTTTCTGGGCACCGATGATGACATACATCGGAACTGGGGCACTCATATCAACGTTCATACACCCTAGAATGAATAACGACCATTCGTAAAACTTACACTTCTTTCAGTGTTGAGGGAGGAATTTTATAAATTTTCCGTTATGTGCCCTTTTTTTGGAAATAGACCGGGGGTCATAGGTTTTGGCTTTTAGTGCTGAATTTTCGAGACTTCAACAAGTTTTGAAATAAAAATAAATGATTCCGATAAATTAATAAATAATTATTTTGATCGCGAACGCGCAGATGGATCATCTTCAACCAATATTAATGAAAAAGACAGCGAAACACGCAAAAAACTTGAAAAATTCAAACTCACAATAAGAGACTATTAAAAATTGAATTATTGTAATAGTGACAAAAATTCATGTGTGACCGGTGCAACGCGTTGACAATTATTGCAGCCCGATGATATTGCATTAATTAGCAGAATCAGTGCGATGCATCCATAGTGATCCTAATCAGTACCCAATTACCCATCCCATTACCTGCCTGCCTGCCTGGGCGCTATCTCCTCAACGTCCCAGCGACCGCACTCAGAGGCAAACAGATAAAATATGCCTGTGACCCCTGACTTAGCCTCACAAAACTTGGTCTTTTGGCTCCAAAAATTGATTAATTAAGCTGAAACTCAGGATGTTGGTGCATTAGGATACAAGAAATCCATTTCTGCCATTTCCCGAAAAACGCGTAAAACACATACGTGTATGTGCCTCTTTTCCGGAATGCTCCTCAATTGTAAATTGCTTACATTCGATTAAAAACATATCCCACTGAAAAGAGACAAATTACTCAGACCACTTAAGAGTCTACAGGACTCTACTAGGGCTCAACTAAATAAAAACAACAATACCATGGTAGCAACAAGATGTGTTTTTCATGAATGAGTAAAATAATTAACTACTTATATGTGTTTGTCAATTGTTAAAAAGTAATCAAGCAATATAAATTTAGGTGGACATTAATTGGATTCCCATGTAAATTGAAGAGAATTTCTTGGAAGAAACCGGCTCTTATGTAAAATTAAATTTAGAGAATTTCTTTTTCTTTTTAAGCATCTCATTGGATTATAAATGTAAATGTACTACTTCCAGACAAGTTAATGTGCTTATGAATGCTGATATGCATTTCTGATGAGATCTGTCTGATAAAAAGGGACACCAGCAACCTTCAAAATAGGAATTTGCGGTAAAAATACTCACCAATCTGAAAGAACGCAAGACTGAGAGACCTTGAACACCTTCAAGACTAAGCTCCAGCAATGATAAAGCCACAATGATAAAATCGAATATGTTCCATCCTTCTTGAAAATAATATTTTGGACTCATTGCTATTAGTTTCATGGCAGCTTCAAAACCAAATGTTGCACTAAAAAACTGGAAAATAGAAATTTAAAAGAGTTAAGACAAGTTGCACTCCCTAAAAAAGTTACCTTAAAAAGTTAACCTCCTAGAATGTATTGATCTTAAAAAAAAAATAAATAAAAAAAAAGAGGGAATATATGAAAGCATCAGTATGCTTGCACGTAAAAAATCTTTGTCATCGCATTGATCGCAAGAAAGCAGTTTGCAGAGACCAGATTGTTCATGATTATGACTAGGATTAATGTAACTCCCATTTTGCTAATACTTCACTCACTATTATTTGGATCCATTTAGCAAGAAGGAACCAGCGCAATTACAGTGTTGTTAAAATGTTGCTTCTTCGTAATTATGTAAAAAATCTCCCAAAACAGCAAATAGTTTGAGCATCCCACCAAAAAATTGGTAATTTTAAAGGGAAATAACTGTGTAAAGTTTAATGCTGTAATATATTCAGTATTTTTAAAAAGGAGAAATTAATTTGCACGATTTTAAAATCACTGTAATCACTTTGGTTCCTTTCAGGTAAAGGCGATCCATTTGATACTTACTGTTAATTTGAGTTATTTGATAATGTCAATAAGAATCATCTGATAAATTGATTACATTTTGCAGTAAGGAACCACCGTCTTTGGCTCTCCCATAAAAGCACATATCTGCATGGGAAAACCAATGGCATATATGTTGTGTCTAAAATGGGCCAGAAATAGTGGTTCCTTACTGCAAAATGTAATCCAAATGACACATAAAATGGTGTTATGCTTGAGAAGGTTTGGATTACATTTTTCAATAAGGAACCACTATTTCTGGTTCTTCCATAAAAGCACCTCTCTGCATTGGGAAACCAATGGCATCAATGTTGTTTCTAAAATGAACCAGGAATAGTGGCTCTTTATTGCAAAATGCGGTCCATTTATACTCAAGGCTAAATAGAAAACGATATAGTTTGATTCTATTTAATTTTAATGCCCGGCTGTTTTTTTAATCAGGTATGCACATAATTGAAACCTTGATTATGTGGTCCCATGTGACACAGTCAGATCAGATAAGAAAAAATTGGATGATAGAAATGATGGCCCCTGCTTTTTGAAGTGCAAGGATGGGCTACGTTTTCTTCTAAAGTCGTTGGTAAAGAGCTATGTCTGGTACAGTTGTTAGTCCAATTCGTAGTTGTACACAAAAAAAAGGAACTTTTCCTAAAAGAGGACCTTGCACATACACTGACAAGTCAATAGATGGTAAAAGAAACACTGCACAGAAAAAAAAAAAAAAAATTAAAAACTGAGAAGGATTCAGTTAGATAATCTAATGCCTAAATAGTCTTTGACCGGATATCATAGATTCTACTGTCTTTAATTATTTCAGTACATAAAAGTAAGATAAAATGCTTACATAATTTCCTGTTTTCAGGAAGCGCTCAGTCTCTTTGTTCATGTCATGATGATCCAGCGCCATAAACAGAGTGTTGACAACAATGCAAAGGGTGATGAACAATTCTACAAATGGATCGAAAACCAGTAGAGCTACATATTTTTGAAAAGTAAGCCAGCATCCACAGCAATCCCAGACGCAGAAAATATCGATCCCTCGTAGGCAGGCGCTAAGTAACTTCTCTTTGGTTGATGGTCCGTCTTCCTCTTCGTCTGTTGCAAAGTAATAGACTGTCGAAACTGTCGCATTGCCAAAGCAACAAACGACAAACGTTAACAAACACACGTGAAGACATTGAAATTCAGAGACAAAGTTTTTGAAAAAAAGTAATCAGCCAAAGATCAACAGAACCTTCGGACATTTTCTCACTCAGCTCGATTCAAACTAATGGCGTCAATTTAAATGCCCGAGAAGAAAAAAATTAACCGACGCACAAAAACTGCAGAAAAATTTTGTCCAGTTTTTAGGTAACATGTCCAGTTTAGGCAATTATGGTGAATTTGAATCAAAAGTAAGATGACCACCTCCAGAGGAAAAACTATTTAACAACTGAGATCCACAGGTAAATTAGTGAAAATAGAAACTTTTTCTGGAGCTCCAGAATTACGTACTGTAAAAAACACGATTTTACCCTAGAACTTTCTTTGCGTCAAACATGAATAACATTTCTATTATGAATGTTACAAAATTTTTGGCTATGAAAAAATATTCATCTGAGAAACCTGTGAATTCTTTTCCTTTGATTGTTTTCAGGGAATTTCATTTGCATAATAATCTCGTTTACAGAAAAATTTTGATGAAAAATATTCTTAGAATTTCTTAAGACTAAATACTTCGTCGGAAGAAAATCAGCAACATTCAACTATTCACTTGATATTTTTCCTAAGCACTACCAGACGGATAAGTTACCCACTTCATCGATTTTATTACTTTAGAACAAAAGGTATCTATTTCAATAGTGGTCATCTTACATTTTAATTGGAGACAGGTTAATAAAAAAAGTGAGGGATACAGTCAATCCATAAAAATAAAAATTGTGAGATTAGTTGAACATCTCTAGTTGCACTGATTGCCATAGTAATCAGCTTGGTGAAATAAAGTATGGTAGGCAGTTTTCTAATTTCAATATGTACTTGAAAGTGCATCTAAGGGTGAACTTAGGCGTGTGATTTTTAGCGGAGCTTTCACCCACAAAATATCATACAAGAATTGAGCACACTGACTCTTAGAAAACAAGGACTGGCAAAGTGATCTCAGAGTAAATTTTCAAAATCGGAATACTTCCTACGAGTGACTGAGTTTTCAATGATAGTTTTCATGAAACAGAACGGAACTGAAAGAAAACATATCAATTTATGCTAATTTAAAAAGAAGTAAACGAATAGGTAAATCTTGGTAAAATAAGAAACTTATTTCAAACAGGACCACCTTTTCCTTTTCTTTTGAATCATGTATGGATTCAGAGGAGACTCTCTTTAAAATTTCCATGAATGCTTTTGAAGAAATTTTCATCAAGGATGATGCAAATCATTGGTGCAAAAGAACTCCATGAAAAATAACTACACTTCAAATCATCTTTTGAAGTCAATGTACCACAAAAAAAGAAAAAAAATGTAGCACTGTTACATAAACAAGAGGGTTATAAAATTAATTGAACAAATGAGATATAAATAAATTGGATAAAGCCTTTGAAAAGTTCCGGAATTTGGGTAAAAAGATATTACAAAGCAAAGAGAAGCCTTGCTAAATCAACAAATGAAAAAGTGTGAAACGTGATTTCCTTGATACCTCCCTATTTTATGTGCAGAATTACATATTGCTACTTGCATCAGACGATATAATTCTCATTTATTCTTTCGGTTTATGATTTATCAAATTGTCGGTTGAAAACTGCCTGCTTGCTCTTTGTTTTAATAAAAATTGACAGTGAGGAAGTACAAATTTACCTTATTTTAATAATATAAAAATTGAATAGTACGCAACACACCATGCAGTATACAGTAAGGGGTCATCTATAAATTACGTGAGGCACTTAGGAGGGGAGGAGGGGTCTCTAACAGCCTTACGGTGCCTTACGAGGGGAGGAGGGGGGGATAAGGCCGAGCCTTGCGTGAGCTTTCCAGCCTCCATTTTAAAAAAATGCTAACATCCATTTTTCGCCAAGTTGATAGTAAAATTCAGGATGAAATAGCGGAAATCAGCACATCACCGATTGCTGACCAATTGGATCATGCTCCTGTCATTTCTCTTGATTCCCACTTCTCATTGTCCGTGGGATGATGAGTAGTGACCTTATCCTTATGCCAACTTGATACTTTTAATTGTTCCAAAGACAAAAAAAAATCTTCAATTTTGCTCCACGTATTTTTGTTTATTAAACCAATTGTATCTTCAATATTTCCTATGAACTTGCTTCAAAAATGAAGTATCACTAATAAAAATTTTGGCCCAAATTTTAGCATTTTTCTAAAAGAAAATGCAATGCTTAGATCTGTGATAATTGAAACAGGAAGGGGGGGGTGGGTCAGTCGAGCCTTACGTAATTTCTAGAGGGGGGGGGGGTCTAAATACANNNAAAAGTCTTACGGTGCCTTACAAAGGGGGGAGGGGAGGGGCCTAAAAATGGAAAAAAGTGCCTTATATAATTTATGGATGGCCCCTGATTACACCTAAAAACACAGAGCGACATGCACTTATTACTCAAGCCGATAATTACTTTTGAAGAAGATGAGAACTTTAATTCATAAATAACAAAAAATTCAAATTTCTAGGATACAATCAGTGGATAGTATGTAAAAACCAAAAAATGTGGAAAAGCTAAAACTACAAACCAATGAAAAACATGCACCTATCGTTGAATACATAAAATTCATGAATCCCTGTAGAATTTGTTTAATGTGTCACAAAAATATGTAGAAAGAGGCAAACACTGTCCCCATTATGTGCTAACTTACGAGTTGGCGTCCATTATTTCTACCTCTTAATACTTAAGAGCCCAAGGACCACAGGAGATTAAGACAAGTCTTCCATATCCGTCCATCCTTGCTGATAAGACAAACTTCATCCTCAAAAATCAACTTCTGTTAACTTTCAAATCAACTTCTGTTAACTTTCAAATTAAGTAGTTTATATATTTTTCTCTCTTTCCATTGAATATTATTATGAGTGAAACTTACAAGAGGAGTAAGAAATGAGTTTTGGTTTCTGATTTATTTTTCAGTGTCTTCTCTGAGTTTTTCAGGTTGCTTGTAACAGTAAAATATATAAAATAGATCCAAACATCTATGTTTTTTTTAAATGAAAAAGTTCCAGAAAATAGTTTTGTGTAGGATGACTTCCGATGGAGATTGAGTGAAGAATGAGATTTGATTATGAGTGAAGACTCAAAAGGCCTTGATAGACGATCAAATTCCAAACCAATTCCAATCAAACTAGACCATTTGATGACTGATGGTCACCTTACAACATTCATTTTCGAGCAAAATTGGATGGCCATTCGAAATGAATTCATCATCTTTTACCAGACGGAACATTTCTGCCAAGTATTCATTTGAAAATTATGCATAGTAACGATTTTAGGACTGACTACACGTAACACACTTCAGATACGCACTTTGAATGTCTATCAAGGCTTATACTGAGGCAGTAAAGAGTGACAATCTTCCTCAAGATTAAAAACTTGAGAGATAAAATAATGAAAGGCCAGAATGTGGCAATTGAAAAGCAAAGGATGTTTGCCAAGAGAGCAAGCATTTACAACAGAGATGCTAGTTGAGGAGGTTTCTGGAGGAAGGAGCCTAAGTTCATGTCTCCAGAGTGCCTTAGCTGAACTAGCAGGCGGCAAAACGTCTCAGATATACAATGGCTTGTTTAGGTTGCCACCACTCGGAGTAACAAACACATCATATTAAGAGCCCTTCTTCTAGAGAGCTCCTTGATTAGATAAATCTGCAGCAACATGCACACAAGCTCAAGCCAGAGTGAAATAAGACTAGAAATTTCCACGATGAACCTAAAAATCAAGGCAAAAACTGGACATGCTTTCCTTTGAGTATCTTTACAGATCAAAAAGATTTTAAGGTACTAGAAACAGGGAACGCACTTCAATTTAAATTTAGACTGCACTTCAGGCATGCATCAATGTTTAAAATAAAAAAAAATTTCAATGCCTTTTCTGAAACACAACAATACTAACACACACATGAGAATCATAATCGCAAACAATTGACTACAAACAATTAAATATTACATTAAAGAGAGAAGAAATAACAATGCAATATGGGATAGAATCAAAGTATGTACAGAAGATCCTGAAATAATTAAATATTGATGGTAAAACTCCCAAATGACGTAAATCAGTTCGCCATACTGCCAGTTTCGCAGACCTCCTGCCATACTTTATTTTTAAATGGAGAACTACTCAACGTCAATTCCTATGAGACTTCCATGTTCTTTCTTCTCTGTGCAAAGCTAAGTCTAAAAAGATTCAAGAAATGATGTTTATTTATTCTCCTTTCAAAAATAAAACAAGAGCAGAGATTTTAAAATACCGCAAATGAGATACGTGATTTGGGAGTTTCACCATTGATATGACACAATTTACTCTGACCTAAGGCCCTAGCACACGCCTCTCTAGATTTCGGCAGAACTAGTCTCGCGGTCCTCTATGTGCCAAGTTCACTGACATTTGGGCAAATAGAAAGTACAAGATAAATAGCTTCAACTATTGGTTGACGCTGCTTCATTTTGAAGTAGAGCACAGTATGAGCATTCAGAAGTAGCAAAATCTTCCTTCATGAAATAAGACTTTTCTGGGATACTTGTGTACATTTCTCTTCCAGGTTATCAGCGAATTTTATTTACGATTTTATTTTAAGTGTCTGAAAATTTCAAAGACTCATATTCAGAACTTCCCTTAAAAATTAGCATTCTATCGATGGGAATTTAGCAACACTCAGATCTTTATACAGCGTTTTTTGAAGGGATACCAAAATTGGGAAATACCACATCTGCCGAATTCTGGGAGTGATTAACCTTGAAATCAAATGCTATTTTTTCTTCTTTTTTTTAATTCATTTTATTTGAATATTATTATTCTGATTGATTTTTTTATTTTTAGTCATCAGTTTTTTTTTCTTTCTCTTTCTGTACAGTAAAATTAGGATAGCTTGTGGTTGATTCACATGTTAATCTGGCTACTTGTTTTCATGTTTCTGTTATTTGCAAATTAATTATTTCCAAAATAAATTATCTGCTAACTGCTACAACTGCCAATGGGCCATTGGAAAAGGTCTGAACTAGAAATGAGTCACATTTTTCTCTTCTAAATCTTCCATAAAGAACAATTCACACAGTGGCAAGTTTTGAAATCGACTCCTTGGCGAGATATTAGCAAGTGCTTTTCACACGGTTCAAATAGAGTACCTGTATAGCGAGAGTATGGACAGATGTGAAACTCCGAAAATCCATCAGGCCTTCACCAATGCTTCTGCGAATAAAGTTAGGGCCCAGAAATGCAGCCAACCTACGAATTTCAATTATCCAGAACAATTTACTAATACTATTGTTACGAACCGTCGTTTATTAAGCACGTGTTTGACTCAGTTTTTGCATAAATTTACTCAATTTCGCGGAAGAACGCTCATTTCTGTACATTCTTTGCCATCATGGTTAGAATTGGAATCTGCAGACTGGCAGTGAAATTTTGTGCGTTAGAAGTTGGTTAGAAGGGTGGCTGCACTTTTGGGCCCTAAGCCCTCCATGAAGCGATCTGTCCATACTCTCGCTATACAGGTACTCTAGGTTCAAATAGAGTTTAGATTATACCAATGACTTCATTTGTATGGTTGCCATTTAACCGTTGTTAATTGTAGACACTTATATTTTGTTTAACAATTGGTATCCAGATCCCTCACTGTGCGATTCGTTTTCCTCATAAAACGTGTAAGGCTCATTTCTTATTCATTTCTTAAAGACTGTCTAATGACATTAGAAGCCTCATCAAATATTCATTAATCTGTTTGTCCTTATTCCTAGATATCTTTTAATACATCATAAATCAGCAAACATGGATGATGTAAAATCCAGCTCTAACCTTGCAATCTAAAAGAGAGAGCCATTTCCTCCTTTGACTAAACCTGGCTGTTTTAATTTTCTTTCTTTCTCTCTCTCTCTCTCTCTCTTTCTCTCTCTCTCTCTGCCACAACTCTAATAAAAATTCTAATAAAAATAAAGCAGCGCTCCAAGCGCCATTTTATTTTTGTGTTTGTTATTTTTACTTAATTTTTCCTACGAAGAAAATTAACATTCGCTTTGAGTAGATTCATGATTTTTTAAAATCTAGCAATGTATATCCAGTCCCCATTGACCAGCCTCAGTCACTGACATGACAAATTAGCATTTAAATTTTTATGTACAAGGCACTTATTATGTAGAATTCCAAACCAATGCAGAGGAGAAAACAGACAAGAAACAACGATAAATATGCAGTAATAATAAAAGTAATACTGAATAAAACTTTAAGGACTGAAAAAAGTACCAGAAAATGGTACATTTTACAAAACAATAAGAATTGACCAGTAAAAAAGGTATAAATTTAAGCTTTTTGATACTTTCCAGGCCAAAATTTTACGTAGAACATGATTTGCAAAACGAAAATGACTGAAATCAACTCCTAACTAAGATAAAGACGTTTTTAGTTTCCATTGGTTACAGGAAATTCAAATCCCCCATTCACAAGACAAATCATGGTCTACTTGAGTCAAATTGCACACTGCAGTGGTTTAGGAAGGCTTCTCAATAGAGCAGTACTCTTTCCCTGCCTTGAGTTGTCCAAAGTGTTAACAATGAGCAACACCTGAAGCGAAATGCTGAGATTGTGGTTGTCATAATTTCATACTTTAGAAGCTATGGTGGTAATGTTTAGTATACAGGTTGACTCTAGTGGATTAGAATTTTTTTTTATGGGTAGGAGGTTTGAATTCACTTGTCAAGATACATCAAAAATTATAGTTAGGCGTCAGTTTCAGTAGTCTACGTTGGGCGAATCATGTTCTGCGTAAAATTTTGGGTAGGAGACATGTATCAGAATGTTAAAATTCGTACCTTGTCTGCAAGTCCATTTCCTTGTGATTTAAAGCACATAATTCATACATGAAACCATCATGTAGAACCTGGTTCATACGAAACAGGTACCTACTTCTCGACATTTCTCATTTCTAGACAAAAAGGCATGAGTGTCACCTTGTCAAAATTTCACCCAAATCAAGGTATTTATAAAAGAAGAAAGTCCAAAATTAGTTCAAAAGTGAGCAATTGATCATTTTTTTTACTCATTTAATTACAATCAATGGACCACTAGACAAGGTAGAAAGTTAAGCATTTTGGCATTACGCTAACTCATCAAAATTTCATGTAGAATACGATTCGTGCAACGAAAAGGTAAATTGAGACTCTTAAAGGGTTCTTACTTCAGCATTGCAGGAAAAATATATACACGTACTAAGAAAAAAAGCTCTCTTTCGGTTTATATATAAATAAAAAAAAACTCTTACCGTTGATTCATGACACAACATTTCTCAAACACTGAAGAAGAAAAGCAAAATCTAAAAAGTAGACGAGATTTGATAGAAATAAATGCTGAAAAAAAAAAACCTGAACTCACCATTGGTATTGCTTTCATGGCTCTGTCTACCGGCAGCTTGCTCTATGATGTCATTCAAAACCATCACATCTATTGAAAAAATAAAACGTAAAATAAGGAAGCTTATATCAATTATCATTTTTTTTCTTTTCTTTTTTTTTTTTTTGGTGCTTTGAAGCAAAAGAAAATTATGTACATTATGATAACTAGTGTCCTGCCTTGGACAGGGAAAAGTTGTAAAAGATCCCAGTCTCCGCCAGACGCAAGAAGCCAGTGGAGACAAGGGCCTAAACTGCAAGCACCCAGCATGACAAGGATTGAGGATCATGGAATATAAATATTAATATTATGGAACTAAAATTGAAAAAATTTCAATTTAAATATTTTGAAAGTTTGACGGGGTAAGAAAAAAAAATTAAGCAGAGGATTATTCATGATCTCTAAAATATAACATTAAAAGCATACAGCAGCAATTTATCTCTGAAAGATCACATGTCCGTTTTCAGGTGACTCCTAAGCAACTTGAAAATACTAGCATTTTGGAGCTACATATATTTGGTACTAGGCATGCTCACTTTGGAAAACAATTTGGTAAAGAAATTATATTGACTTCCGTGTCAAAGTTTGAGGAAATTCATGGTGAGCCATTACCTTTCATGTCGACAACGGTTTGCTGTTGGGTTGGTTCTATGAAAGGATTGTCTTGGTGTTTAGGTTTTAGGACCGCTCCACATTCATCCGTTTCAACATTACTTAATGCCTGGAAAGAAAATTGAGTGACTCAATGACTTGCATTTAACATTGCATTAACAAGGCTGTAAACTACACTTACGGTAAAACATTCGATACCTAAGTTTTTGACCTGATGGATGTTGCAACAGATATATTTAGAGGGTGTCTAGTTTTTTTTCATTTTGGGAAATCCTGATGAGATCCTCATTTTTCCTGATTTTTGATGGCTAAATCCTGATTTCATAGTTTTTCCAAATCCTGATTTTTAGCGGAGAAAAATTGGCAAATGTAACTTCACAAAAATAGCTGGCTAAAAAAATCCAATCAGTTGGCCAACTTTTCTCACATCCTGATTTTATGACCGATTTTTCCTCAAATCCTGATGAAATCGGGGATTAAATCCTGATTCGTCTAAAATCCTGAGAGAATCGGGAAAATCCTGATGCTAGACACCCTGTATTATATCTATTTAAGGACTAGGAAGAAAGATCACCAGGGTTCTCAAGAAATGACATTGAGTGGTTTTTTATCCAAACAATTAAAAATGATAAGAAATCTGCGACATTTCAAGTCGATATAGATGTTTTTGAAGTTTTATCATCAATATGCGAGTAAATGAGTTTTCTAAATTTAACATAATTCTTATGGAATATTCAAATACTTATGCGAATGAAGAAAATTTTCCAAGTTCTATGATTTGATGCTGGGCATTATTGATTGCAAAAGGAATTTTCAGTACATTTGGTGGCTGAGAAAGTTTATAAACAAAGATGAACCTCCTGCATGAGTTTGGCAAAACCTACGTACGACATAAACACAACCATGAACGAATGAGTGACTTACAAATTCTCTAAAGTAAGATTTGTGCTCCCCTGCTGAACTGCTATTTCTGGCAGATCGAGATTTCAGTCTACTTTCTTTGGTGGTTGGCTGTTTGATGATGGCACCTGTTACTAAGTCTGCATGCGATGTGTATGTGATACGAGACGTATGAGATGTGTATGAACTGTGTCGGGATCCAAGATTGGCATAGTAAATTGGAACCACAATAGCACCATTTTCCTCACTCATCGGCGTCACAGCATTTGAGTCATCGGCATAAGGTAAGTGCTCCTGAAAAAATAAACTTAATGAGCATACAAAAGTCGACAAACCTATTACAAGACACAGGGGCAAACTCCTGTATCTCTTTGTTACAGAGAAAGCTGAACGAATATAATTGTATTCATGTAAACTCTTAGGAAGACAATGGAACTCTCGCATTGCATATTACAATTTTATCAATTTCTACAATCAATATTCTGCGATAGAGCATAGATTTTGGCTTCTGTATTCACCTAGAGCCAATTTCCACAATATATATGTATATTTTGTATCCTTTTAAATTGAAGGTTCTCTTTAAAAAAAAAAAAAAAAGTAATTTACAAGAAAAAGATGAACAAGCAGACAAACTAGAAATTTTATAAATAATTAATTAAATAATTTTATTAATTATAGTACCTGAGCATCTAAATAAGTTGATAAAACTAATGGTTTTCTATCCCCACCAGGGGGATATCGAGACCTGCCATTTCGCAGAGTGAATTGGTGTGAACCACGGGAACTACGGCGCAAATTAAAAGGCGAACCAGGAAGACTTAAACTTGCCTGTAGAGAGGACAGCAAAAATGGAGCGTTAAGAAACAAACTTGTAATATTATGTGCATCTTCATAATGTGATACACAATTTATTTATCAAGAGATTTTTTTTAAAGTAAAAGAACTGCAAAGTTGCACAATCTTAATAACACTAGATGTACCCTTTTCCTGGATGATTTTTGCTTATCATCAAATTCCAAGTGTGGAACTAAAGATAAATGACAAGGATGTGGAGCCTTACTGCTCAAAATGGATTCTTATGAGGGATAAAATGTTTTCAGCCCAGCTTGGCTTTGTTTCTTTCAAGATCGATGAAAAATATAAGCAAGGACTAAGCTAGACTCAACAATGAGCTAACTGTTTGTATAATTCTCAGAGAGAGAAAAAAAGTGGGAAATGAGTTCTGACTTATCTGCCAAATCTTCTTCTTCTTTTTGTAATTGGAACCAAGATCAGCCGAACTGCAATTCATATTACTTAAGTTTTTCTCATGTTTCATTCTTTTCACTGAGAACTACTTAACGCCTTTAGACTTTACATGAATTTACCCTGGATTATGAAGAATATATATACTCATAAAATTTCAAGTTTCAGTGTTGTTTGGTTCTTTGTTTAAAAAATAAATAACCAGAAAAAAGTAGGCAGCTCCTGATATAGTTAGACTGATTCCAGTTGAATCCGTCTCATTGAGATCTCTTGTATCTACCTATTGATTTTTCTACCTGTATGGGGCATGTATGCATGAATGTGATAAATAAATGATAGTCTCGTGAGAAATTAGAAACTGTCCATACAATTCAATCTAACCTCTCTTTATCTGCTTTGAGACAAGCAGTATACAAGGTTATTAATGAGTGTATCAGAAGAACTCATTATGTGGGTAAAAGGTTCCTTTAAAGAACCTCGTAAACCACAACTTGCTAGCCTTTTTTGTGAGCTTATACGCTAATGCTAATGCTTTTGCAAAGAGCCTCTTGTAAATTAGTATGTAGTGATTGTTCCAGAGTTTCTACACTTAAGAGAAGTCCGAAGAGAATAAAAAATACTTACTGTGCTTACTTTACGAACTTTACTACAGTGACTAGGAGGTTTGTCTTGACTGAGAGTTTCCGAGACGATGCTCATTTTCTCTCGATTATTGTCATCCACATTTCCTTTTTCTTGGCCAACAAACAGCTCATAACTCTGACACGAAAAATCTGATGGAGATTTAACGACACCTTCTGCATGCCCAGCAGCCTCGGCTGCTGCTGCTTCTGCTGCGGCCACCGCTCGTGCTTCAACATTCGCTGCATGCTGGGCTTTTCTTGTTTCTCTGGCAGCAGCTTGCTCTTCAGCTTCCTGAAATTGATTAGAACACATTATTCAAATTTCATCAGGTTCAGGAGAACTCGTAACAATTGAAAATAGACTGTAAAATATTTTTGCTGAGATGCATTTGAACTTCGAGAGGAACATATTTCTGCTATTTCAACAAATATATCCCCCCCCCCCCCCNACCGTTTTCTTTTGAAATATTCCGAATTCCTCTGATCAATTTTCTTTCTTCTTGATTCGTCTCTCTCAGATATAATTTTCCCTTTTTAGTGTATTTTCCGAAGAAAATACACTATTGCATTTTTTTTCTTGAATTTTCCTGATCCATTCTCTTTCTCTTTAGTTTATCTTTCAGCACTATTTATTCATTTTTTTCTCCAATTTGTATGTAATTGAATTAAATGTCACACCATTTTTCTACACACTATGTTATATTCATGACACAAATTTATGTTTTGCCCTGTGTATAGGTGAGTCAGTTGCGCTAGTCACAGAATTGTGTCTTCATGGTTGAGGCTCATGGTTTTGCAAAAAATAGTAACATCTGTTGAACATCAAGTTTGTGCATCCAATATCACCCATTGCTAAACTCGGAGTATGACATCATTAACCACATAGTGCATGCCAAGGTTTCTTCTAGCGTCGTTTCAAATTGATAAAAAGAGAGATGGGAGGATTTGTACGTACCCTGATGGCTTCTTCTTCTGCAGCTTCTTCTTCTTCAGCTTTTTTCTGCAGTTCATCGTATGACATAGCGACAATGGCCAAGATTAAATTAACTAAATAGAAAGATCCTAAGAAAATTATTACAATAAAGAATAACATATGCCACGGACCTGCTGATCTTAGAACCTGAAACAAAATTGATTCATTGACAGTTAGTTATTTGAAGTGAGTATGAAACTTTAAAAAAATGAGGAGAAAAAAATGAACGTTGTCTCTGCAAACAAGTTATTTCAAGAAAAATTTCTACGAGACATGACTGAGGTAAATGAGGTTTGAAAATCAATAGCAGGGCCTATTAGAAAATTTGCAGGTGTCTGCAATTTTGTAAATTTCACCTTTAAAATGATACTGCTAGGAAAACTGAGTATGAGGATATCCTTGCTTTGAAAATTGGACAATTATTGGAGAAGATAAGTCGAAATAACCTAATTTGCTAAAATTCATGTGTTTAAGAGAGATGTGCCGCCAGATGATGTCATGAGGCAGCACATTTTCTCTCTTTTGACTCAAATGTTCTCCAATTTCCCATGTCAGAAAAAAATTATGAAAAATGCTGCGAACTCAGCTCATTAAGAACTCTCAGATGAAGCAATAAAATTTTTGTGTGCAAATTCTCCATTATAATTAAAAACGATGTGTAGAAAGGGAGGTAATCAAATCATCGGCGGTGATTGTCTCCTGTTACCGATGTTCCAAGATTTAATTTTTCACATTCTTACTGATTGATAAAAATTTTTTTATTTTTACATTTGTTCAATTTTAAAACAAAGGATACAAAAAAAGAGTTGCCGCTTGAATAGTTTTTATGATGAATTTGCTTCATATTACTAAATAATTAAAGTATTCGAATGAAATTTTCTTAAAAAATTTTAAGAATCCTTACCATTTGATATAAACTTTCCCAATAATCCTGAGTCATGAGTCTAAATGCGGATAAAAAAGCCCAACCAAAGGTATCAAAACTAGTATATCCATAGTTGGGGTTTTTACCAAATCCCTGAAGACATGTGTAGCCTGGTTCACATTGCCTGTTGAAAAAGAAAAAAAAGAAGAATTAGGACAGCTTTTAAGAATGGTTTGAGTTCATATTCTAGGTGAATTTTCTGAGAGGGTGTTGATATTTTCTAAGCATTTGCTGTTTCAATCAAATGAGAGAACAATAATTCCAAAAACGGGCTGGGAGGCGATTGCCCCTTAAGTTTTGGAAAAAATGGCCTCCCATTTTGATAGTTTGACAAGCTCTATGTGAAATTTGGAAGAGAAAATATGTGCTGCAGTGTTCAATTTTTTACCCTATCTAGTGGTTCAGTGTGACTCGCATCCTCAACAAAATGGTTTTACTGTAAACATAGGATATTTCAATCATCAATATACCATAAAAAACAAGGTGGTAGAATAATGCTAGGTCCACACTATTCTGCGCAGAGAACGCCAAAAAATTCCAATTAGAATAAAAAATTTGCTCGGATGAATATCAGTGAAAGACTGACCGTACCATAAAACAGTTTTAGAAAGGTGATATAAACGCAGAAAAAGACAAAGACAGACTCAGAAGGATACATTTGATAAAGGAGCAAAAAATTAACCGTTGCCAAGTAATAAGGTAAGATCATTACAAACTGAAATTGAAAAAATGAGAATCTCTTATTGGCACAGCCAGAAAGATAAAACCTGAACTTACCCTGCTCCAGAAGAGTTTCCACACAGTGGATAGTCATTCTCTTCTCCAAACCAATTAGCTGTGAAAACAAAATTCAATAACAAATTATTTTTGATTGAAAGAACAGATACAATGCTGGAAAAAGGTAGATGCCAACAAAACTATTTTTTTTTTCTTATTTAATAATCTTTCAAACAGCTCTCAAGGGCTAGTCCCCCGTAAATAAATTCTAGTATTTCGATAACTGTGCAAAAATTGGCATAGTAAATGATTCTGAGTGTTAGTGGGGGATGAAGAGGAAAGAAATACCCATTAGGGTTACAGGGTTACAGGTTAGGGTACAGTGTCCGAGCATCCTTAGAAAAAGGCTGAAAAGTTCAGCTCCCTGTTTTCCGATAGTGGACAATACATAACTTTAAAAATGCCTGAAAAATTTCACTCTGTCAAGACCATTTATGGAGCTACCAAAAACATTTTTATCCTAACTTCGTAAGTTGTTTAAAAATAACTTTTTCAATGAGCTTGTTCAGTAATTTGTAATTCTTGCATTTTGGAAAGCTAGAGAGTGCACATAGTTCACAGAAATTTCAGGAATTTCCCCCGATTTTTATGGTCAATATTAACCCGAAGTTCCGGATTTTGAGCTCTCATTTAAACAAGTGTTGCTCGGGTTATCCAAGATGGCGTCCATTCTATCCGTCTAGCGATGGCCACGCTTTTGACTTGCGTGCCAGCAAGGTGCCTCTGCCGCGTGTGGTAGTCCATGAAGTAAACAAACTAACACCAGACTGAATCCATCTGACTCCTGTCTGATTACCCACGGACTGATACACCCGGGCCGATTCCACGCAACAAAAGGGTGCTGTATAGCTATGTCTATGGGTAATCGCGTGGGAGTCAAATAGATTCAGCCCAGTGTTCGTTTGAATACTTCTTGGACTACCACACGTGGCAGAGGTACCTCGCCGGCATGCAAGGTCAAAAGTGTGGCCATCGCAGGACGGATAGAATGGACGCCATCTTGGATAACCTGAGCGACGCATGTTTAAATGGGAGCTCAAAATACGGAACTTTGAACTCCTATTTCATGGGTTATTATTGCTCAAAAAAATCGGGGAAAACTCCTGTAAACTATATGAACTCTCTAGTTTTCAAAAATGCAAGCTCATTGAGTTGTTAATTTATAGGGTAACAAATTGTTTTTTTTTAAAAGGTAAATAAGATAGGAGTCCTGTCAAAAATTGTTTTTTCCTGCAGATACAATACTTTTTGGGGGAAAGAGCAAACAGTTTCTAAAATGCCTGTACAAATTGAAATGGGTTGTTTAACCTTGAAAGACACAAAAAGTAAAAATTCATGTACTTACAAGAATTTGAAACAAAGCGAAACCAATTTTCATCGGTCAGATTGCCAGCAGATCCATCGTCAGGAAAATTTTTAATGCATTTTTGTGTCAGAACACCCATATAAATTTGAAGACCCATCAAAGCAAACACAGAAAGTGAAAACATAGTTAAAATTATCACATCTCGTAAATTTTTTACAGATTCTATAACGGCTCCAACAATAGTTTTCAATCCTGAAAAAGGAAAAAGAGACAGAGGTTAATGACATCTAGATTTCATCTCTCTATGTGAAGGTATTAAATTTATGGAAGAAATTTGAGAAAAGTTGCAGTTAATTTAAGAAACTACCAACAGTCATTTGTGATAAAATTTAAAACTTCCTCCTCCTTTAGTTTCAGTCAACTGAATTTTTAAACCCATTTTTGTAAAGGAAATAATTATAAGAATAGTAAAGAGAAATACTATTCAGACAAACTAAAAAATTTCAAACATTCTGAAACTCTTTTTCCACAATCAACATGTGGAGCTCAAATTGGCTTGATGAGCTCTGATCATTTCACGAGTAAACATTAACCAAATTTCTATATACCGCTCCATTTTGAGCTCCTGCTTTAATCGCGGAGACAGAGATGTACGCCTGCACAATCTAAATATTATGACTGAATGATTTCATTCGTTACATTTCACAGCAAACTCACATGAAATAAAAGCTGAAGAAGAGAGGACTCCTTAAGAGGATCCAAAAATATCTTAAAAAATTCTATTTTAACTGAGTTCAAGTTTTCTTTCTTTTTTAGGTTCTCAACTCAATCCATACATTGTTTTGGCTCAATCTTTTTATCATCTTTATTTGTTTTTTCATTCGTTGTATATCGTCTTCTTCTTTTTCATAGGGAAAGTTTAGTGATAGTTCCTTCATTGAAAATAAAAAAAAAAAAATCTTGTTTCTTGAGAAAATGAACAGGTCAATTTTCTCGTAAGGAGCTCAAATCCACTAGAAATACAGTTTTTCCGCACTCAATCAGTGCTAATAAGCTAACCTTGTGTAAATTGTACTTAATAAATTAATCAAATATGCTGAAACCGTACCAGGCACAATGGCGACTGTTTTAAGAGCTCTAAGAACCCGAAAAGTCCTTAAAGCGGCTAGATTTCCAAGGTCAATACCCATGGTAACATAGCTGAAAATAAATTAGAATAAAATGTAAATGTTAAATCTTTACAGGTTTTAAATATTTTAAGTATGACTACAAATGATAATCTAAAATTTCCAGATGGTAACTTTTCAAAGGAAAGGGAACATCCAAAAAAAAGTCCTCCAACACACTCACAAAAAGAAAAGAAATCTAAGATTGAGCTTTGAACAAACATAAAACTGACTAAATAAACGGACTGGCAGTTGGAATAATAAAACAGGCTGATGTAATATAATAAGTTTTTTTTTTTTTTAATTTTAAAATGAAAATGTTCACGCCTCCTTCACAAAATGTATTCATGGAATATCTGTACTTCATTCTGCAATTTCTTTCAATAATACATAGCTCTCTTCACACAATTTTTCCTCTTTCATCTCTCTTCTACCATTTTGATAACCATCATCTGAGACTATCAAAACTGAGTCTTCCTGTCCCAAAATCAAGTCTTTTACCACTTTTTCATGGGTTTCACGGTGTGCCAAGGTGCGCTGAAGGAGCGACTTGTAGGTACATATATTTCAAAGAGAAATTATAGGACTGAACTATTAATTCTATACAGTATGTACAAACAAAAAAAATATGACTATCACATAAAAAAGGCTACTTATTTAATGGATAGAAAGACTACATTTTGATCAGAGGGTGGATTTATTTGCAATTCTAGGTTCAGACCTGAAAGGTTTGTACGACAATACATATGTACTTGAACTATCTCTAATAATGATGGAAAAACTAGAATACAAATTTCAGAATACCTCTGAAAATTATTTTACTGTCTTGAGAAAAGTTAAAAACTAGCTATTATCTCAAATTTACAGCTGTTGATGAGTACAAAAAGTGCTGAACTTTTAAAATATGGTGAAGTTAGGTGACAATGAAACTTTAAAGTGATCACATGATTTTTCAAAAAGAAACTAAAATTTATGAATTTACGATGAAAAAAATGAGGAACAGTAAGGTACGCAGAAAGTTGTCTTCACTTTAATAAACAAGTTGCTTTTTAAAGGGAATATGTCCATATATTTACAAAAACTGCCATGAAAATTTTGCATTGGTCCAACTTAAAAGTTCACAAAAAAGGATACCAGGGTGTGGTTTACACAGTTCTTTAAATGAACTCTTTACCCACAAAATAAGTTTTTCTGAACAATTCCATTAACATCCTTGTATGCTTCATGTCTCAAAGCACATAAAGAGAGCTTAGATTGAATTTAATGGACAATTTCTGATTTCTTAACATGTCATTATTCTCTTTCAACAGCTATAAAAATAAGTACCTAAAATCTGTTCTGTAGTAATAAGGTCTATTCTATAAAAAAACTACTATCATGACTACGGTACTACTACTCACGCTAAAGCTATAACTACGAAGTCGAGCCAATTCCATGCATCTCTAAGATACGTGAATGACTCTAAAATGAAGCCTCTAGCCATCACTTTGACTGCTGATTCAAATGTGTAGATACCAGTGAAAATAACTCTGTAATCATCAGACATTAATGTCAAACAGGCTATGAGAAGAAAATTTCCGGTCAAGAGAGAGGTCTTAACATTGACAGTTGTTACATTCTGGCAACTGCATGATGAGTTGTAACATTGAAAGAGCTATGCTTTACCAGAATATGTAAAAACAAATCATTTGGTGTCAGCACAGTATGGGTATGGAGAATGGACCACTAGAAAAAAAACTCTGAACTAAAAAAAATTTTGTCTTTTCTGAAATTCGGAAATTTAACTCCTGATTGAAATATTACAAAGTGTTTTTAACATGGATCAAATAGAAATTAGATTATACAAATGATGTCTTTTGTGTGTTTGCCATTTAAAAAATACTAATTGTGGATTGTTAAATCTTGTTTAGGAGTTAATGTCTACACTTCCTGTCTTGTGATTCGTTTCCACAGGGAAATTTTGAATAGGAAGTATGTTACGTAGTGCTTTAATTCATACCTTACCTTGAAGGCCATTACAGACAATAGAAACAATTGAGAAATAAATACATTAATAAAAATACATGATGGCAAAACTCATGATCACAAGGGTCACTACCATTTTTTAAAATCAATTACCCAATTTAACTATTCGTTTAATTATGCAATGTATTTTTTTTAATACACTTCACTCACAACAAATGGCTAAATATTCTTTTTATTTCATACATCCTGGCTGAACATGGCTCTTTCAAGTGTCCTTGGTTAGGACTCACCGAATAATTCTGGCATTCACTTAAGGAAAATAAAAACTTTGGTATAATCTCCAATGAAAACCAGGGCTGGATTATCAGACAGATGTCTAGTGCTTGATACGTAAAAAATCACTTTATATAACTCCTGTTATTACAAAACAACAAGAGTAATAAAGAGCAACATCACGAAGATAGTAAAACTAGGAGAACAAATCAAGAAGGGTAAAATTAAATGAATGTCCAGGGTGTATCAATTCCTATGAAATATGTCACTGCCAGAATTTTAGGACCTAGCAGTTTCATATTGATAGCTGAAAGAAAAAAATGCGTATTTATCTTACAATATTTAAAAATCTCCAATTATATTTTAATTTCTTCAAAGAAAATCGGTCAAAATTTTTCCTTGCAATTCTGTGTGATTTTCTTCTTAATGAGAGAATGAGATTCACAGAAAGTTTCAATAGAAACAGGTTTTCCTTTAAAAAATAAAACTTGAGAAGAGACTTGCATCATTATAACTTGTGATACGCATTTTTTGACTTAAGCCATGCCATCAATATTCAACATTATCAAAGAATTGTCACTTCCTAGCCAAAGTATCACAAGCGTTATGCTCGGGCACTTTGATTTTTTTTTTTTTTTTTTTTTTTTTTTTGAACAAAGTTATCTGGACACTTTGTTGTCAAACTTACCAAACTTGTCCAATTTTTCGTAGAAAAACTAGTTAAAAGAATCACTTGAAATTTTCACTTAAAATTGATAGTCATCAAGATTTATCCTTGAAAATTTCATGAAAGTCTGTGCAAAAGTTTCAAAGAAAAAATTAAAAGAACAGTGAGATAATCGGCAATACAGCGTCCAAGCTTAAATGCTGCTCGTAATACTTTGGCAAAGGTATAAGATACTGTGACGGAATAGTGTGAAAATATGAGAGCCTGAAAATGCTCAAGAAACAAAGACAGACGCAATCTAGCCCTGGGGGAAATAGATGATAATTTTCAAAGTGATTTTGCCACTCTCAATGGATGCAATAAATACTACATATTTTATTTCTCCGATAGGTTCATTCCTTAAAAGAAAATAAAAGAGAAATTAGTACCTGCTTGAAACAAGCACAAAACACATAGTAAGTTAGGAAACTAAATATTCTAAAAGAACTCCCACTACAAAAAATAGGGAGAAAGATTATTAAGACACATAAATACATGGGCTCATCAAGAAGTCTTGAGACTAATGCTATGACTCTGAAACTATACGGCTGATGATATGATTTTGCTTGCATAGAGGAGAATTTTAACAGCAGTTGCTATTCTGGTTAAAAGGTGGGATGGACTCAATATACTTTAAAAATATACACTTTTTTGAGAAAACAAATAGATCAGATGCTTTTTCCCACCAAAAAAACCAGCATCATTTCAGTGCAAAATCACTGAATTCGATTAACGTATTGATACAACTATCTGACAGTTAAAATTTACCTTAAAATAGAGCCATTTTTCATTTACTTCAAATTGGGGGGGGGGGAGGAGAAGTTATGAGAGGATCCATACAGCTCATGTCTACAGTCATCTATTCACATTTTCCAAGATGACTAGGTGTCAGGTGAATATTTTACTCAGATACTGAAGGTACACCAAAAGCAAGATTGGCAACTAGAGGAAGTGCTATAAATTCCCTTTCGAAAATTAATTTCCTATCTATTGATGAAAATAAAATTGCTCTAAAATTATCAAAAAAAAAAAAAAAAATCATTGTGTGGAATTAAATTTCAACAAAAATTGGATCTCATTAAGTTTGAACAGAGATTCACTTATTTCAAGGAAATCTCTAAAATAAACATCGGCGATTTGATAATCTTGTTTGCACAAAAACATCTTCTGCTGCAGCAAAAGGGAATGAAATTGAGATTGAAATAAAAAGCTGATGTTTTGTCTATTAGACTCAATATTTTTCAAACCGCTTCAAAGACATTCCAGCAGACAAGAGTGCAAGAAAAAATAATCACATTTTCGCCTTGTTGAACCAGTTTCATCTGACCTAAAGTTAGTTAGTTGCTTAGACTACTTATTTCAGTCAATTCGCTGAACCACTCTGACCAGAGTGCAAGGCAAAGTTGTCTATGTAGACGAGGTACAAAATTTTGCACAGAGTTTTCTCTTGATTCTTTAGGATTAATCGAGGATATCACACAATTTTTGGTAGAAGAAAAGTTGTTATTTTCAACAGGACTTATAAGATTTCTCCAGTCTCCAGGAATGCAACTCTTGTATGCCACATGTATTTGCAATTCAAGTCCTTTTGCCTGTTAAAAATGTTGTGAAAAAACACAATGGTGCCACACATTTTCTCTGAAAGAAAGTCCAAGGCTCAAAAAAAGCTCTTAAAATTGAGGCTGTAATGGAGAGGATTGCCCAGGTTACAGTGAAAATTCACCTCTACGTCCAGTCAAACCCTCCATGCAAAGATAGGGAGAAGATACATTATCAGGGCTACCACTTTGAGAGGGTATTTTAAAACTGCAGCCATGACAACTCAGCCAATGTATTTACTCCTCATTTGTGCATGGAGAGTTTGACTGGATACAGAAATTGACTCACACTGTATTGTGAGCAATGCCCTCTAATACAGCCTCAACTTTGAGAGCTTTTTTTTAATCTTGGGATTTTGTTTCAGAGAAAACCAGTGACACCGCCATGTTTCTTGCAAAACTTTATACAGGATAATGCACTTCAATTTCAAACCCCTGTAACATGCAAGAGCTCCATTATTGTAGATCTGAGAGGAATGATTCCTGAGATGGGAACAAGATAAATTCCTTGCAAATCAAGGAAAAGATTGTAAAAGAAAAAGAATGATAAAATACAAGATTACAGAAAATAGACAACTCACTCAGTAGACTCAACAGTTGGCGTAGTAGGCATGATCATGAGGATGCAGTTGGTGAGAATAGTGGTGATGATGAACAAAGAGAAGAATGGATGAACAAGGATGTAGATAGCAACCCGTCGAATTGGATTAAATGGGTCAAGCAACCATAGTGCTTTGGTTGCACTAAACCTAAAAATATCTTTCCCTTTACTAATCACAACAAACGTCTGGAACAAAACAAACAAAATCCAATCAGTTTTCACAATTTAGTATACATACTGTAAAATTTTATAAATACTTCTTATTGAACCATGAGTAATTAGGATTATGGGAAAGTCAGTCTCAGTGTGAATGTCCACGGAAAATTTGCAGACGTTATGGTACCATTTCCGAAGGATAATCATTAAATGACGGGCTTGGAGGATAAGGCGCATAAGTGCAGTTTTTGCTATTTCAAGAAATACGAGTTTTAAATTTTGAAATTGCGAGGATCCTTAGGGCGGTAGAAAAATAATTCGAACTACTTTTTGATGTTTAAAAATTGGAATTTGGGAGACAATTTTTCACAGAATATGTATTAGGACTAGTTTCACTTGAAATAATTAAACTGTCAATTTTTTTCAAAAACTGCGCTTGTGCGCCTTGTCCTCCAAGCTCCTCAGATGAAATTTTGGCAATTTTTAAGACAAGAAACACACAAGTTCAATTCACAAGCTCTTGGACTAGAAAGATGTTATGGAACAGATATTCAAGGATAGGTTCAGACAGAAAAAGCTCATTTGAGCACCAATTTCTCTCAAAAGTAACTTTTAAAAATTGACTGCCTCAAGTACTTAAAATGAACCTTTCAGCTAATCAAAATAAAAGGTCAAACTATCTGCGTTGACCAAAGCCACAGGAAAAATAGGTAATAAAGTAACAATTAAGGTAATTAAAATTTGATATAGTTGCAGAATTAAGTTTAAAACTGACCCGCTGGTTGAGATAGTAGGGATCAATGTCTTCGAGAGGTATTGAAGCAAGCTCTGGGGGAAATTGTCCATGAAGACGCACTGGCAAAGGAACTCCTTGTTCCAATGTCGTATCCGGTTGGGGACCTTCATCTTCGTCTTCGTCTTCATACCGTATCTAAATTAATCAAAATGAACACGATATTAAAATCTAAATCTTTGCAAAGAACCACAGTGTAAAATAGTTGGTTGTTGATGCTAGCAAAAATAGTGGAAATGCAAACTCGTGACAACTTGAAGCCAGTCCTATTGCGTAGTTGCGATTCATTGGACAAGTTCAGAGGTAGAGGCGAAAACGAGGATCTCCCAATTTGAGGGAGACTAACCAATCTCATTTTAAAACAGAAAAATATTATTTTTAGAATAATTTTTCTCAAAGCTTAGTGATATAACACTGTACTGCCATGCTAAGGAAAAATGCTGTATCAAAATTCGAATGTTGCCAAAATTTCCCTTATAGAAATTGTGTTTTGGGCTATGCTGATTCGCCCCATGGAGTGTACAGCTCCAACGAGAAATCATGTTTTGGAAGAAATTTAGGCATACTTTGCCTTGAAATTTGCAGATATTTTAGATTGAATTCAGAATAAAATTGTCTGAAAAATAATTACAACTTTTCCAATAAATATATATTTTATCAAAGGAAATTCAGCACTGCTTGAATATTCATACGACGTTTTCTCTTAGCACAGAGGTATGACTTTCATATCATGGAAAAAATCGCTACCGTGTTCGCTGAAAATACTTGTCCTCTTGATGCTCCAAATTAATAAAAATCAAAACTAGATGTAAGTGTAAGGTACTAATGGGCGGAACTAGAAATTTTTTGTGGGAGGGGCACAAAGGGGTACCTCGGCAAGAAGATCTGGGGATCAAAGACAGGCACTCCATTCGNGGGGGGGGGGGGGTGTGTGTGTCTTGAGGCACTCCATCAGCTCTGAAAGGAGTCTAACATTTGCGCATATACAATCATCTGTATTTTAGCTAGTTGGTCTAAATTTAATGTTGGGGAGGTGCCCCAGAACTACCTGCAGGTATTACATCGGGGTGAGAATTGTTCTGAAAGGAGTCTGAAAGGGGCCTTCCTGGAGAAATTTGAAAATCGATACACCTCAGGAGTAGTGGAGATGTTGCATGTGTGAGGAATTTGCGATTTGACTGTTGATTCTTATGTAAAAGTTTGCGAGAAACACGATGGTGTCACTGGTTTTCTCTGAAATCAACTCCCAAGCTCAAAAATAGCTCTCAAGTTGAGACCAAAATGGAGGGAATATCCCACGCTATCCTGAGAGTCCACGTCTACATCAAGACAAACTCTCCATGCAAAGATAGGGAGCAAATACATTAGCAGGGATACCAAGTTTTCAGTTTCAGAGTCCCCGAATAAAGTGGCAGCCCTGTCAATGTATTTGCTCCCTATCTTTGCATGGAGAGTTTGTCTTGGTGTAGAGGTGGACTCTCAGGATAGCGTGGGATATCCCCTCAATTTTGGCACCATCGTATTTCTCGCGAACTTTTACATAAGAATTAGTAGTCAAATCGCAAATTCCTCATACATGCAACATCTCCATTCTGAGCTGTTCTCACCGAAAAATTCATTGAAATGAAATTTCACAGACGACAGAAATATCAAGAAATGAAAGTTCCTAGCCCTTTCTGAGGAGAACCAAGGGGAATCCTGATTGGTCAGCCTCCTCCCCTGAAAGGCAGATCCAGCAATTTGGCAACAGCGGATTCCCTCCATTTAAGCCTGTGTTAAATAATCGATTCTTATTGGGGCACCTGGCCCATCCAAGAATTAATACATTTGCATAGGTTTAAATGGAGAAAAACAATGTTGCCAATTTGCTGGATCCGCCAATGCCTCCCCTTAGTTCCGCCTATAAAAGTGCCTATGCAAGAATGCAAGAAGAGTATTAGAAGTAGTGGTGAAATTGTTACAGAGGCAACCGTATGTAAAATAAGCTTTTATCTTAGTCTTAAGTTGAAGTATTCTGTTCCACTTTTCATGCGGAAGCAAAGAGTGAATGAAACTGACTATGTATGTGAAATAAATTAACAAGCAAGTTAACTGATCAAGTATTGTGCACACTAAAAACGTTAGTTTTGTGTACCTATGCCAAATATTTGTCATCTAGGTAATAGTTATAGCGTTTTAGGGTAAATGTTGACACTTTCTATACCTCTTTTTCAATCTTTCATAAGACAAGAAAATACAGCTACACTGATTGCATCAGAAAAATTCTTGGACATAACTTTTTGCAAAAATTAAAAGCTATCACAGGCTTGGCGCTACACTCGCCTGTCACAATCCCTCTATATAAAGTAGAAATGTGAGTACTTTGAAGATTTACATAACTTCATTTACTGAAAAACCCTGAGAACTTCCAAACAGATTCTTATCAGATATTCTACAGACTAGAGCTAGTATTTAATGGTACATTTTTCAAGGATATAGTACATTTTGAAGTATCTCCTCAGAGACAGACAGATGATGGTGTTGATAATCAAGCTCCTTGACAGTAACAAACATAATTCCTGTGCTTGTGCGGAATGATTTAGAAGACGGCTCATTGCTCTGATTATCCTGATTTCAAAGAATGATCAAACTTTGTAGAACAACGACTAGCTAAATTTGACTATGCCCTTGAAACTCCGGTCAAGCCTCCAATAAATGCTCAACGCTTAACTACATTCGTAGACCATAGCATATAAAAGCTCATGCGCACATCCTGATGGACATGGCGGTATTCTGAGTCGAGTAGTTGTTAAATTCGAGCTTCTGCAACTCCACAAAAACTTGTAAATTCTGGACAAATTCACAAGAGATGTAAACTGCCATCCGATGACAGAACTTGCCAGGTTCTTTTGTGGAGGATTTTTCTTTTAATAGTTTATTGTCTGGAAGATCGTTTCAGGACTAAGCACATGAAATTGGTACCATACTGGCACCTTGTAAAAAGGAAACACTTCACTGAGTATGATTTTGGGTATTTTAACGAAAATTGGGCACTTTTTGATATGTAAGAACATCCATATAAATAAATAGGAAAAAATACGGATGATAACAATAACACCAACACAAACAAGGCTAGTTTTTTTTAAAGATAAGACTAGAAATGTTTTGTTCGCGGATCCAGCAAATTGGCAACATTGTTTTTTCCCCATTTAAACTTGTGGTAATGTATAGATTCTTGAAGGGGCCAAGTGCTCCAACAAGAATCGATATTTTAACATAGGTTTAAATGGAGGGAATCCCGTATTGTCAAATTGCTGGATCCACCTTAGAGATGTTTCAGCCACAGGATGCATCCCGTTTTGATTTAGTAATGAAGCAAAAACTGGGGTAAAATTGTAAAGGTAAAAATTACTACATTTTGATGGATCATGATTGCACACAGAAAAAGATAAAAAAAAAAAAAAAAGAACCATGTACAGTACACAGGCAGTAAATTATTTACATGTGCTCATCTCGGTACTGAGTTTGATTAATTAAGACAACATAGGTTGATTGAAGTAGTATTGCTCATACCTACAGTGATTAAAGAATCTTGCGGCAAAGAGAACGAAAAGTTATCATTTTTTTCGTTTGATAAGTTTTAAAGAACTGAAAAGAGAGTTTTGCTTTGGCCTAGCAAATCTGCAAATATTTTTTTTTTTTTTTCTGGGCATGAGAAATAGAAAAATAAAGAACACTCATTCACTTGCTGAATAGTCGAAAAGACTGAAGAATAAAGGGGGAGGGGGAGGGGGGACATTTCTCTTATGTGGCACTCTCTTGACTTGGTCACAAAAATTGGGACTTGAGGTCAAAAATGAGTGTCTCAATAAGTGACAAAAAGACGAACTGCATACAGTGGGAAAGTATGGATCAACAAAAGACTTCCTCATGATAAGAGACTAAACTAATGTTTTCCAATTGCACCTTGGAAGTAAGACACACTTCACATTCATTTACCAATTTCATGGACCACAAGACAGGGTAAGAGTTAAAGCGTTTGAAGACATGTTTCCTCGTTGAAGTTTCATGTAAAACTTGTTAAAAATACTGAAAATTTCCATGTTTAACTTATAAAAAGAGTGCTTGTATACGCTGATTTTGAATCAAGATGAACAAACATCAAATTGTCTATTATGATAAGATTACCTGCGGGAAAATAAGGGTAGGAAATTAAGATATTTCCATTGGTACCTGATATACAGAGCCTTTGAACTTGTCTTGAAATTCAACACACTTTTAAAATTGTTTTAAGGTAAAAACCACTGAAATCATATGGTGCCTGCTTGAATTCAAGTAGAATCTGATTTTTGGCAAGCGGTAGTTCAAAATGAGAAACATAAAAAACAATGATTTTTCACTTGTTTCTCAAATTTTGAAAATTTCAAAGAGTTCAAGTGTCCATCATGTTCTTTGTGAAATTAGGATGAGAGAACATTAGTTGTAATGCTTAATCTCCGGGCCCTGTCCAATCGTCTAGTGTGAATCGTTAAAGATTACGTAAACTTCTATTGCATTTCTTGAGAGTACCATTCTCACAGAATTGGATTGCGTTTGCAATTAAGAACTTCTATTCTTGGCTCAATCATGAAATGATTTACCTCCATAGGAAAACTAATACCACATATGTTGTTTCTGAAATGAGCCAGAAATAGTGGTCCCCGATTGCAAAAAGTAGTCCAGTTGGTTTGGAGCAAAGCAGTAAAACTCCATACCATACAGGAATTTGAATTATACTAATTTTTGGCACTTCCATCTATTTCCTATGTTAAAAACTAAATACTTACACTAGATATTAATTTAGCAATGCATAAGACTGAACTTAAAAAATGTTCAATTTCTGATAGAATAGAAATTATTAAAAAGCGAGGAAAATGAACATTATGGATGAGATGTCTATAATAAACACTCTAATCTCATGCTCATGAAATTTGTTTTCTACACTAAAGGTGGGAGATGTCTACCATGTCCTGTTGTGCCTATGATAATAAAGAATAATAAAATATTTAAAAATAAACAAATACTTATGATTGAGATAGAACTATTATTGGGACTTGCCTGGTAAATTAAAAGTGATGAATTTCTCTAAATGACATTTTTACAAAGTTATGATTAGGATAATTGAAATTTTGAGTGACATACTTCCTAAACTAAACTAAAACTAGTTGTAAAGCATTTAAATTAAAAAGCAAAGCTGTAATGGCTGATAAGGGAATGGTATTTTCATGAGAATATATAACAAATAGAATAAATTTTGCAATTAGGAACTACAATTTCTCACTCATTCTAGAAACAACATATCGACGGTGAAACTACCAAACCACGTATCTCGGTTTGCGACGTCGCAGACTTCCTGTCATACTTTATTTTTTAAATGAAAAACTACTTAACATCCAGTCTTGAAAATTTCTGTGATTTTTCTTCTTTGTGCGGAGAAAATTCCGTGAAAATTTCAAGGAATGATATTGATTTGGTTTACTTCAAAAAAATAAAATGTGAGCGTGGATTTTTAAACACCGCAAACGAGATACGTGGTTTGGTAGTTTCACCGTCGATATGTTCCATTAATTTCCCTGTGCAGATAGATGTCTTTTTGTAGAAGCCATGAATTGTAGTTCCTTATTGTAAAATGCAGTCCAAATATGAAATAAGGGGGAGAGAATGAGAGCAAAGAAACAAAGGAAATTACTTATGGATTAGAGGATAACTTTAAAAAAATAACAAAATAATACTTTTTTCAAAGAAGAAAAAAAATAAAAATAAATAAATAGATGATTGAAAAAATTATGTGGTCTTATCCTCCGATAAATTTAAGTATAGGTAAAACAAAATGCACAATGTAATGTGATAGATGTATTGAGCTGAGTGCCTGCCTCTGTCATTGATTGATGCTCGGAGTTGAATAATGCATAACTCAGATTGCAACGTTGTGAATCTCCTGTCGTGTTTTGTTTTCTCAAAGAAAAACTAGCCTAGACCTAGACAGTTTCTGTTAAAATTTTGTGTGAATCGATTTCATTCATTCTATAAAATATCACACAAGAATTTTGAATAGGAATATGGATTAGTTTTCCTTGCAGAAAATGAGAAAAAGTCTAAGATTATATATATATATATATATATATATATATATATATATATATATATATATATATATATATATATATATATATATGAGTCGCTTTTATAGCGCTCTTTGGCGCTTTACGACGCCTGATCGCCACAAAGCTCGGTCTTCCCACAGGTCATCAGGGAGTTTAAAGATTTTAAAACATTGGAATTGAGATATGCATCTTCCGCATTTAGTCATCTTACTACATTATATCTAATTTTACGTGGTAGTAAACATATAATGCCATAGTGGTCATTTGCCAATTTTATGAAATCTTACGCAGAATTTTATCAACAGATTTCTTCAGAATGGTAAGTGAATTTTTTTTTTTTTATTTTGTGAATCCTATTTCTTTAAAATTTACCCATGAACAGTGCCCCAACTTCACCAGGTGCAAAGCTTAAAATTTACCTTAAAACTTGGTTATACTAAAACTCCAGAGCTCCATGCTACATGGCAACCATGTCAGAGGTAATTAAAGCTTTCGAAAATTGGGCAGGAGTGTTCTTAAATACATAGCTTGGAGTTTTTGAATGGTGAAATCAAAAAACTAATAGATCCTCATCCTCAAAAAGGCATTCGGTGTTTTTGTATTAGTTCCTGAATCTGGTAGCTGTTTGGGTTTCTCGAAAAAAATTAATTTGTTTGATTATAAACTAGTCGAGAAAATAAAATTGAATCCAGAGAAAAGTTCAGTGCTTGTGAGTTATCTTTTAACAGACTTATCTATAAAAATTACTCTTTCAAAAAAAGATAAAAGAAAATGAAAAGCAGTTGCGCCTTGGCTTTGGCAGGAAAAAAAAATCAAAAATCAAAAAACAAAAAGATGTCGGTGAAGCTGCTT